CATTTTAACGTGGCGCGGTAACATTTTAACGTGGCGCTGGGCACTGTCGAACGACATTATTTCAAAAAATTAAACACGCGAATTAAGCATTGAACCCGCGAGTAAATCTCCGCTGTGTTACGCGACCCTTTCAACGCTTTAGATCGTTTCGCTTGAACGTTCTTCCCCGGCACACGTCATCCACTTCCAATTGCAGCGACCACTTGAGCTTCGTTGACACTGCGACAACCGGTGAAGCGATATTTTATTCACACTACTGAGAACGTGCCAGCGATGCTGGAATTTCCTTATTGACACGTTAGTTAATGACAACGTTTCCAACCCCTTCTTTTCTTTCTATGCTGTCCAAGTAGAAAAGACAGGTCTTTTAACACGTTGAATGCCAGCGCGATATTAGCCAAGATTAATAGACACACACATAATTCGAGTGAATGTGAAATAAAATGTTGCGAAGAAATTAACGCAGCGTATAGAAAAGTAAAAGAGTTTTAATTATATGTACATGTAATATACAGGGTGATTCGCGTAACTTGAAATAACTTTTAAATTGCGCGTCTAATGAAAAATCGTGCAGTACAAAAGTTGTTGCATGGCTTTATCAATCTTTCGTGGATTTCGAAATTTCCAACATCATCTTTATTTTTCTTTCAATTGAATCATATATTTCCGATCGTGTCGACCTAAGCACCTAAAGCAAACAAAGGAAAGCTGAATCAGTACGATGTGTGAATAATTCTTTCCATTCAACATCTTCAACATGTACAAAATCGTCGCCCGATGCTAAGACTTTTCCAGTCATTCTTCTCAAGTCATTCTTCAGTCAACTCCACTATACCGTAAATAAATAAAATAAGCGAGAATCGAGAAAACGCAATTCAACTTATCTGATAATATTTATCGTACAATAGCAGATTCTTGTCGTCGCATTAAAAGTAGCTTAATTACTGGTGAAAAAATCTCGAGCCAGAGATTTCAACCGTGATGAAACGACACGGTAGGAAATAAGTAGTTTACGAATATCCAAGAGAAAGGTGTATACATGTATTCGTACGATTCTCCCCTTTGTATTTGTCTGGTGTGCGCGAGAGGTAAAAACCATTGGCTACAATTATCCCTAAGTTTATCGGGTAAACGTGGCGATTTTTGTCGTTGATCGTTCGGCGTCTTGATTAAAACCGGCAAGAAATTGCCATTATAGATGCCTGACAGACGGTGTCCTGTGCTGCTTTCATTCGAGGTTCCACGCGCGCGTGCCCCCTGGTCTGGTCTGTACATTTCGTGTCCCCCTCGTCGGTCCAATTCGTAATGTTCGTAGACGTCGAGGGCACTGGGCGATGTCCTTTTTGTAGACAATCTTCAGGGTTTAATTAAGGAACTTGGGCAAGCGGATAAACTCGATGAATGGGGGCAAGCGAGTCGGCATCGCGAGGGTGCGACAGACGAAGAAGGCCGGAGCAGAGTCTCGCTGGCTCGTTGAAGCAACTACTATACTGTAGAGAGTTCGAGAAAGAGAGAACCGGGATGGAGGGAGGAACTGGCTAAAAGAAAGGAAGAGTCAAACGTTCCCCGATGGAGAGTCTAGCGTGGCAGAGACTCGGAGAGGCCATTCCGACAGTATCTACTTACTTGCGTGTACAGGTTTGTCTACAGGCTGTGTCAAAATTGGTCGTCTCGTATTTAAGTAGTTTAATTCTGCTTCGAAAGTTTGGTACGTACTATCGATAACATGATCTATCGGGACTGAGAATTTCTATGTGTAGCGTTGGATATTCGATCGAAATGTCGGACTTTTGTTTACTGCTCAAAATCAAAATCATGAATCATTTGTATGATTCAAAAAATACCATTTTCGAAGAGCTCTTGGTTTTTGGAAGCGATAAATCCTGGAAATTTTTTTGTTCTTCTAACACAGGAATAATTCTAAATTTCTGAAAAGCTGAAAATCCGCGAGAGACATCTGGATATCTCATTAGAAACGATGAGGGAGAATTTCTAACAATCTGTGAAGCACGAGGTCTCTCATTATCATCATAAAGAAGGATCAATTCGTATCGGTTCAGAAAGAATGAAATTGAAAAAATTCATTTAAGAAACGACTTCTGAAGATAGCGAGCAATCTCGAGTCAATGGGCAGAAATCGAAGCTCGTACGTCGAATGAACATCGAATCTGGCACGTTTCACGTGACGCGGCCTGTGAAAAGCACTTTTTAGATACTTGTTAATTATTGAACGGGGTACATTGTAACTTTTGAAAAGCTTTGGAAAGTTTAATTCTTTACTTAAAAATCTTCATTCAATTTAATTGTATATATTATAATTTCCAACATGAAATTGCTCTTGCTGGGAGTCCTTGATGGTAAGATTTCTTATAAACGTCTCTTTCGAGTCCTTTCACTTTCACCTCCTCCAAATGCTCAATTTATTTCTCTCGTCGTTGTTGCTCCACCACCTGTATCGACCTCGACGACTGAACCACCCTCTATCCAGTACTCGCACGCCGGTGTACACGCGAGACTACGAGCTTCTGCCGAGTTGGTATTCCAGCGTGCACATACACGCGTCCGTCGGGGGTTACGTCGTTTCTCCGTGTGTACTTGGCTTGAAGAGAGCTGGCTACCACCCCCGGCCCGTTGTTAGGGCGCGGAAAACAAATACGCGCGACTCTGAGCCCGCAAAGGAGAGCGAGAAAGGAGCGCCGCGGCGAGAGGACACGAGGACAGAGTGCAGAGAGAGAGAGAAAGGAGTAATAGAGGTGTGGGGGGGGTGAGAAACGACGGAATGGAAAAGAGGGTGGCAGGAAAGGAGAAGAGGGAAATTCAACACGTGCCGTCCTCCTCTTTGCGTTAGCGGCTCTCTCCTATTCTTCTGGCTCGGCCAAAAAGCTCCTCGAACTTCCAAGCGTTGCGAGGCGCACTCGCGTAACCCTCGAGTGTTCGTTTCTTTTTCTTGCCGCCCCACCGGAACCCTGGCTGCTGCCACTTGACTCTGCCGGTTTTTTACTCCGCGAGTCGTCGTCAGAAGAAACGTAGGCCTCTCTACGGCCTACGATCGTACACCGGTTCGGGCTGGCGAGTTTGCGTTGCGGTAAAATCGACAGTTTCCTCTCGTTTTTGATCTTTAGTTACAATGGATTGGAGCAGCCTCTGGCAGAGTGGCGGTGGTGGTTGAACGATCCACACGAACGCAAGCGTCGCGTGCCGATGATTTCAAGTGCCGCTGTCCCGAAAGCTTAATGACGTCTCGTTCGTTGCTTAATGACGACTACGACTACGACGACGACGAGGACGAGGACGAGGACAGGAAACAGTCTTTGATCTGCCGCCGCGCGACTCCGCGGAGAAAAGGCCTTCGGCTCGCGGTAATTGTTTTGAGTAAACTGAATGCGATGCTTTGATCCAGCCTCGACGACGCGAGCGTCGATTCAGAACGCCTCTCCTGTTAACGAGGCAAATCCAACTGGAAGTTTCCCTGCGACCGGAGCTTTGTCGCGGACGCTATCGGGACGAAATTGTTCCCAGGCGTGGCAGACGATGACAATAATCGCCGGATCTTTTGTGTTGGCTCTTGAACAGCGGCAGACTGAATATCGTTAATAATCGCGAACTGTTGTCGTTGGTTGATCGTTGATCGTTGAAAGTTTTTTTCTTTTTTTTAACACTAGAACTATCAAAATGACCAATTTATGATTTTTGTTTTGGAAATTTTATGGACGCAAAACGTAAATAATTCTTCGTGAAATAAGAGCTTGCGTACTCCATTATTAGTATTATAAAGTTATTCTATTTCTTTTACTTTAATATCTCGAATGGAAATTTTATGGTTCAACTTAGTATCAAGATCGCAGTTGTATTTCCAAGATTTTCTCCAAAGTTCGAACAATATTATCAAAAGCATTTTCCTTTTTTTTCCCC